CTTCAGAGGGGAACTACACACACACACACACACACACACACACACACACACACACACACACACACACACACACACACACACACACACACACACACACACACACACACACACACACACACACACACACACACACACACACACACACACACACACACACACACACACACACACACACACACACACACACACACTTTCCTGTCGTAACTCTTAAAAACTACTTTGCGCATAGAAAACGTTTTGTCCCATCAGATCCCCTGATGTTTCACTCAACGTTAGTGTTCCTGGGTCTACTCATTATTTTCTCCTTCTCCTTTTCTCTCTATCTTTTCTAAATTAAAACAGGATCCTTTCACTTTTTTTCTCTCTGTCCTTTCATTTTTGTTTTCTCATGGCATTTTGCGAAGTGCAACAGCAGTATTATGTTACATCCATCAGTGTTGTATCACACTGAGATCCTACTCTTTCTCTTTGGCCAGCGACGTTTTGTCAATACCACCACTAAAATCTTCATACAGCTTTTTCTCAGGTATTGCAAAAAATAAAAAGTACTCTCTACTTTTGTTTGAGTTGTATGACATCTGTATGAGTTGTATGCAGATATGAACGCTTTCCGCTAAATCTCCCTCACCTCTTTCTGCCCTCCTGCTGATGAGAGGAATCGTCTCATTTGGCTTTTGGACCTTTCTCTCACATTAATGCCTGCCAGAAGGCAAGAGAAACACCTTTAATGTTCAACAGCTGCAGCCCTTCATCACAGGAGATGATTTGTATAATTGATGAAACTGCTCCTTATTTTTACTAGATTAGTCGATTGATTTTGTTCTTAAAAGGTTACAAATGCCAATAGTAAACTCCCATAGATCATGTCTCTTGTTTTGTTTGACCAAAAGACCAAAAACAAACAATATTCAATTTACAAAAACACAAAAAGAAAAAACAGCAAATCAATAAATAATGGATTTGTGATTAAGTGGACTTTTTCCATTACATTTAGCTTGATTTGAAACTTTGACAGCATCTCACATTTGTTTGTCACAAGTTTAGAACCTAAATATGCATAAAGTTAAATAAAGCAATAGTAATTATATGCTTTCTGAAATGTGACCCATTCATTACATGGAATAACACTGACTGAGGATAAACGTGTTTCAGTTTCATTTCTGTTTCACTGTAAAAACATCCCACTTCTCAATGTAAAAATGAATTACACTTTGCCAAAGCAAGCAACATTAACCTTCAACTAAAACAGCATTCACGCTTCAGTGTGTAAGTGGGCAGTGAGGAGTGGTACCTCTGTCTCTGATCCAGGGTCTGCAGAGTCAAAGCGCGGGTCTGGACCTCCAGAGGCAGGAGGCCGAGCAGCATCCACAGCCACGCCGGCTGCAGCCTACACATGGCGGCGCAGTGGAGACGCACCTTCCGGGAGGAGGCGGATCTCAGAAGACCAAGATGTTTTGTTTTTTTTAAGAGAAGAAATCCAGTGAAACCTCTATCGGAGTTGTCGAAGTTATTGCAAAGAAGTCAATGGTCCAGTTTGTATGAGTGACAGCATCACCATCTGGATTTTTTGCATCCTGTCTGCACACTTTCCTTCTCGCTTTAATGAAGAAACTCCGCTTTAACGGCGTGAAACCTCAGGAGCTCATTACGGCTCACATTGGGAGTCCTGAGTTCTCTCAATTATAAAGCCTGAGGGAGGAGTGGGAGGAGGGGGAGGAGTAGGAGCTGGCAAGCTTATTGTCTGTCCTCAACTCTACCTTAGCAAGAACTCACATCTCGGTTATAGAGGTAAAGTTTTCTACATTTCGCCATATATTCTTATCGTAAGGTCCTGGTGACCTTAAAGATGTCTTTATAGATTAGTTTATTAGATTTTGTTTTGGACCTTTATTGTGGCCGGAGTCATCTTGACACCAAATATTGCTGAATTAACACATTGAGTTCACATAAAAAAAACATCTGAGCCCCTCTGTTTTTCTTCACAATGGGGCTTTTCAAGGTCACATAATTTTTTTTATAAATCAGTTGGAAATTCTAAAACTTATTATTTTTAAAATAGCCTTTATATAAAAAGTGTGAAATATTGCTTACTTTTGTGTATAAATTACATAAATATGTAAGGCATACATACTCAAAACCAAGTTATATGTTAAAATAGACAGTATACCATTGTCATTCTTACATTTCCCTGCCATAGCCTATTTATTGGTAAAATTAATGAAAATCAAGGTAACCTTCAAGCTACAGAGGTTAAAATGATAGCCTGAAGGAACTTATTGAGACATTTAAGTGTGAGTGTGACCAGGACAACTGATTGGGAGCTAATAAATACAATTATCCATCAATAATTAGCTCACCGTAGAGCTTTGCAGACTGGAGATAAAAGAAGTGCCTTTCTTTATGGCTCCTGGTTCTGGCATTAAAGACTCCTGCCCAGCAGAAATCACATGTTCCATCTGAACAGTAACAGCTTTGTAAACTCTAGATATGCCCATTTGCCCTTTTTAAAAGAAATGCCCATTGAACAGAAAATGTTCTTGTGACATTTAAAAAGTTAACTGCTAAAACTGACATTTATCTTTACAACCTAACACAAGATCCAATATCAATAAAACTATAAATAAGGGATCCCTTCCAGGCACTCTTGTAGTTTATGAATGGATGTGGAGTGCCCTCTACATTACAGCTAGTTATTGAGGTGTGGATCACAGCGGTGTCACTGTACAAACGAATATCAAGTCTGCTTGATATTCTAATCAAACAGTACAAATCTTTGCTTGAAAGACTCACAGCATATATCATTATGTAACCTTAAGGTAAAGGTGTGCAAAGCTTCTTTTATGAGGGTCACATGCATGGCAAAATTGCAGGAACCCATGGCATACTTTTTGATATGGAGAGAGATCTCATATTAGACATTAATGTATGTGTGTGTGCAGAGGAATTAATCTAGTTGTGAAGCCGGGTTCAGGTCAGGTAACCCAGCTACTATCAAACGTCCATAGAAGTAAAGGAAGCAATGCCAAGATGTAATCTGGCTCCGCTTAGGTTGCAGCGATCCTGTTCTCCTCATTTTCCCTGTATAACCAGGACTATTCTTTTTTGTAAAGAAGGACACAGATGAGAAGCTCAGAGCCTGCACCTGATTAAAGGAATGTTCTGTATGTGGAGGTGACTTCAGGCCTTAATTAAAGGGCTGAGTGTGTGTGCGTGTGTCTGTGACTCAGCAGTTTGCAGTAATACCTTGTAAGCTCAGTTTCCAACACTGTGAGCCCCAACTCAGTCCAACATGTGCATTAACACTTTTCCTAAGAACAAACGTCTGTGTGTGTGTGTGTGTGTGTGTGTGTGTGTGTGTGTGTGTGTGTGTGTGTGTGTGTGTGTGTGTGTGTGTGTGTGTCCACGCTTTCCTGACTCATCACCACCTCGCCAGACTTCTTAGCAGACAAGATGCTTTGGCTCTCGATGGTAAGGCTGAGTTTCAGTCTTCAGACTTAACTTTGACAAACCTGGCGGTCACCTTGGACTGAAATCAGACGTCTGGCCACTTTCACAACCTGTAAGTATAATCTGAACAACTCCAGCTTTACTGGACACACATATTTTGCCATTCAAGTTGCTTTTGTTTTTTTGTCATTTGAGCAATTAACCAGACAAGCAGCAAGGGTTTTTTGTGAAAAGTGACTTCAAACTTTGCCATTAATAATAATCACAGAAGCATCATATGAGATAGTGTGTTTATACTATGTAATTATGGCAATTTTTTTATTATCTTCCCACTAAATAAAGTAAAAGTCCAGAAGTATAGCTGGTTTATTCCTAATCAAATATTGCCATTTTAATACAGTTATTTCATCTCTTCTGGTTCGAGATGTTCTAATATTACAACACTGAAAAATCCATTCAAATGTTTTATAAACCAGTTTTTTCAGACATCTATCCATAACAATGTGATGGTATCTAATTCCTCTGTGTGGTGAATTATAGGATGACATGCTCATAAAATAAATTGAATTATAATTAAAACTATATCTAAAACACAATACTGAGCAATATTTTTATATTGGCACTATTATACAGAAAGAAACGTAATAACGTGCTGATTCTCAGGATGATTCTGGGAATAAGGATTTTTTTCTGTTATTTGTTTTGGAAATGTATTTATGATGTATTTATGATATGATATCAGGTACAATATTAACCTTGGCCATGTGTAACCCAGTGAATCTTAAACTATGAGTTGACCTGCAAGCCTGTCTCTGTGTGCTTCGATTTATTTAATTTTTTCAATTCTGTCCTTTCATTTGGCCTCATATTATAATGGAGAGTGGATCTGTCAGGTGAGAGAGTTTTTCTAATCTTATCACCACCCATCACAATTAAAAGGAGGAATTGAGGCGTGAACCTTAATACTGTGCAGTCCAAAAGTAATTCGCACAGTGGCACATTTTCATTTCTCTTGACTTTACTGCAAGATTTGAATCCAAACGATGACAAAGGGATACAGTGAGTGCTGACTTTTCAGCTTTATGGGTCAGTGGTCGTTCATATCTGTAAAAGATGCAGTGCAGCATTCACAGCCATTTGATACATAGACCTATAATTATTAAATACAGTTACCACACCGGTTATTCTGGTTATAAACACCCTCAGAGCAGCTTAAAATCAAATTTCACTCTCAGTTTCTTTTCATTCTTCATTTAAAATTGAATATGCTGCAGCCAACAAAACAAGCCGTCACAGTATGTTCTGTAGTTGTCAGACAGTGAATGTTAAAGGAAAAACAATGCATGCTGGGTTTCTGTGCTGGCAGCAGGTGGGGCTATTTTCTAACCAAACACCTGGAGACAGAGAAGAACAGGATCAGGATAAAGCACAAGAAGTTGCAAGTTACTGAACTGAATGTATAGAATTTACATTGTTAGAATTAAATCAATAAAATGTCCTCCTTTTCAACAATCCCCTTGCATTCTCAATTGTTTTCTACCATATACAGAAAATGCTCTTTCAAAGATGTTTATTTTGGTGTACAGAATCATACATAATGCAGATGCAAAAATAAGCTGTGAGTGTCATTCCACTCAGATGCAGTCACAACAGTGTGGTCACAAGTTCAAACTCTATAATGATGGCACATGTTGTTTATATTGATTGTGAACTGAATGATTAAACGTTTTCTTTATTTCTGTGTTAAGCCTATGAGGAAGACATTTTTGACTTTGAAGATATTGACCATAACAAAATATAATGCACCATTATGTTAAAATACACTGACATGCAAAATTACTGTTTCACACAGTATCACAATACCTGGTTATAAATATATACAAAAAGAACAAGACACCTTTTCTGGTCTGATGTACTGCTTTTTGGAGCAGAACAGACTCATTATTTCTCCCAAATACTGTATTAACAGTATTTTTTAAGTTACAACTTCAAGACCTTTAAAAAAATTCCATACTTCAAAGAAAGTGACATATAACCCAAAGGGATGAAAGACGCTATATAGCTTTATAAAATGTTATAATAAGATGTTAATAAGTGTGATGGAATTGTGTAAATGTGAAATCAGTGTGCAATATGTGTGTTTGCTCTTTAGGTTCAGCATTGCTGTCCCAGAGCTGTGATGAGATCCTGCAGCGGCTCCGTGTCCTCCGGCTCCAGCAGGGCGTGCTGCCGGCAAAAGAGTGTGAGGTGTGTGAAGAGTGTGTTGAGTTGTGGGTGCAGGCCCAGTGCCAGGGTCTCTCTGTAGTGAGACCAGTAAATGTGAGCCAGAGTCCTGAAGAACAGCAAAAACACCTTCTGGACCAGAAAGATGAAGCCTGTTGGAAACACTGAACCTGGAAAGGAGGGAAGAGATAATGGCTTTCAGGAATTTAAAATATGATGCAGACCAATGCATAATATAGCACATAAATATCCCTTTTACCTGCTTTTGTGGGGAACACATCTTCATCAGTCAGTAGCTCCTGAACGTATGACATGGCATAGTCAAAGTAAAGCGGGGCGGAGCACTTCAGCTTCCTGCCGTGGTCATCGGTCCACACATACACCCTGCCAAACATCAACACACACAGTCAGTGGGATATAACATGCTGTGTTTTCAGTTTTTTCAAGAAAAATCTGGAAATGTTTTCATGGTCAAAAAGGATTTCGCCTCCATGGACTCACTTCTTTCTAACCCCACAACCCACATAATTTTCTTCAGTTTCAACTTGTAAACATCCCTTGAGGAAATGTCAATCTGATACCACCATATCACAAAGCTCTCTCTGGAGTAACCAAAGGCTTTATACAACGTTTTGTTTATACATGCAGCACTACTACTACCCAAGACCCTACAGACTTTGATAAGAATGGAGGGTTATGCTGTAAAATGTAATAGTGCTCCCAAAAGCATTGCAAACTGAGTTCAACAGCTTTCATCTGGCTAGACACAAACTCGCTATTAATCCTCAAACTGCACTGTCAACAGCGTTTGTGGTTTTGTGCAATCACTTTAGTAGAAAAAAGTTAATATATAAGGGTTCACTTTGGATATCTCAAAATCTCTGCAAATTAAAAAAAAGTAGACACATCAGGCTCATTTTAAGGTGCATACTTTAATTCTGGATTACCACTCAAACATCTTTGAATGTATTACTATGAGTAAACAAACATTAATTTTCTCATACTGTAAAAGTACTTTAATTTATCCTCCTGAAAGCTGAGTCTGAATTCAAGAAAGATATGATGCACCTTTGCAATGGTAGCTTTCAAGCCTCTGGAATATTCTAATGAGCCTATGTGACAAAAGAAGAAGAGCCAAATCTGAATTGTTTGTTGAATCACGTTTTCTGACGCAAAGGAACCTAGGCTGTCTTATTTACAGTTTGTGTGTTGGTAGGCGCTCCATACACCTACCAGCATGTGCACAAGCATTACAAATGTGACGTTTTCACAATAGGTCCCCTTTAAAGTATACGATGAAGACAAAGTGATAAAATATGAGCAGCATTATGCTCAGTACTTACGTGTTGCCTGGTCCACAGGCAGTGGGGCAGGTGGTGGGGGTGCAGAACTCAGACAGTGCACTAGAGAACAGGTTTATATGCTTGAAAAAAGCCACAGCTGAAAGAAATCAATAAGAAGAAAATCACACCTTGGACAGATATATCTCTGTTTAGTTGCAAAGTGTGGGGAAGACTTAGAAGCAGGAGAAAAGGGAGGAGAAACAGTCCAAACTCAGCTCTGTTTAACAGGGTCTACTCACTATTGCTGGCAAGCCACTCTGCCTTGTCGACGCCAGGCGGCAGCGCGTTGAGGGCCAACATGTCTGTGTGTGTGATCAGCTGGCACACGTACTGCTGCTGCAGATACGGTCGCTCCTCCAGATTATTGTTATTAATTCCCCTTGGGAGGAGACAGTGCAGAGTTAATGAGGCAGAGACAGAAATGGGAAGACAGAGAGACAGAAAACACTGCTGTGTTAAACAATCGATAGGTCAGTGGATTAACTACTCCTGCTGCAGTCAGTAGATAACCACATTTTAGGCTTTCTCATCTTTCTTTTCCTGTGTGTGGCACACAAACACAAATGAACAGTGCTGTTACTGCAGAGACAAAAGTCCAATAAACCTGTAGTTAATGTAATGAAGGCAGTAAGAGCCAGAGTGATTACTGTTAATAGAGCTGAATGCTGCACAGGTCAGGGCTACAAAGCAACTAAGTAAAAGGACTAACATTGTGCATGAAAATGAGCTGAGGCCTGCTGGCTTTTCTGCATCACTTCATGTAACTAGCCTACTGGTAATAACCTACAGGTAGTGCTGTGTAATCAGTAACACAGGACTAGCATATTAGGAATTTGTGATAGAGCGTGTGTGCAGGAAGTGAATGATGTTGTTTGCGAATACCATAGTGTACTGGAAAGTTAAACTTGCATGATTTGACTTTATGCAAACAGACAGGTGACGCAGGTAGTTTGCTGTGATGACAATCATTGCTCCGGTCTTCCCTTTTGATAGCTGGGATGTTTTTAAGGTGGGAATGGCTTTCGATTACAGGGAATATTTCAAAGTGTACTGGAATCCAGCAGCTGCCACACGCAGTTTTTAGATGTCCACACAGCAGCTGAGAGTTTACTCAGTGTGACCTTGCCTAATGTGATAAGGGAAACACAGTGCTCACTATGGGGTTTCACTCCCTATTGAGTGTATGTGTGTGTATGTGTATGTGTATGTGTATGTGTGTGTGTGTGTGTGTGTGTGTGTGTGTGTGTGTGTGTGTGTGTGTGTGTGCGCGTGCAGGAAGAGTTAGTGCAATGGTCTAAACAGGTCTTTGTCCAAACTAAAGGTCAGAGGAGGTAGAGAGGGAAGAATAGTGACAGCTTCACTTCTCTAATGTACACAGGAACTTGTTTTGTTAACATCCTGTTCTGTTCAAGCTTCATGGTGTTAACTCAACCACCGCCTCTTGGCTACCAGTTGTCAGCACACAAACACAAGCTACCCGGAGCTACTTGTAATGGTCTGTTTGTGTGTAAACAGCACACTCCTCTGTGACCCTGCTCTCCAGCTCCTGGCCATCTGTTTACCTTTACCTCTGCCGTGAGGGGTGAAATCGACTGTTCTCTCCAACGCAGCCAGCTAGCTCAAAAAGATTCATCCTGGAGCAAAGATTTGCTTAGAAACTGTACTAAAAACACATAAAAGTTGACCTCATCTTCATATAAACTGGTCCTAAACATGTGTTCCAGCTGTTAAAAGGAACCCACCTTCACTGATGACATCAGACAAATATGTAACTCTCTCACACAAAAAACACACACACGCACGCACACACACACACACACACACACACACACACACACACACACACACACACACACACACACACACACACACACACACACACACACACACACACACACACACACACACACACACACACACACACACACACACACACACACACACACACACACACACACACACACCAACCACACACTTATCTGGAGAACATTCCTGAGTAAACCATGTGCGGCCAGCTTTCCAGTCATGTTTCCTCCACACTATCAATTACTATAAAAAGATCTTCCCTCTCTGTACGTTGATTTTTGGACTGAAAGAGTGACTTTAGATAGATGGAACAAAAAAAATGCAAGGCTTTTTTTTCCAGACAGGAAGCTGAAACCTGAGTATAAGTGCAAGGCTGATGAAGAGAGTGAAGAGTAAAGAACTTTAACTCACAGTTTTTCACTGCTGAAGTCAGGAGGCTGAAGACTCTTCTTGTCTGCCTTCGTAGCCGAGGGGTAACTATGACAACCCCCCATGGCGTAAAGCTAAGAGCAGAGCTGTTTGTCGTGCAAGCCCCACTTTTCCATCCCAAACATACTAACCCACACACTTCTTCTACACACTACAGGCAGCATATGGGAACAGCTGCTCCAGCACAAACATCTCTCAGCTCAGGGAATCCATACAGCTGACTAACACATTACACTAAGATCTCCAACAACACAAAAAAAAAGTAGTCCAGGAGTTGAGGATTGTCTCCTATGTAGAAAGTGAAGATCTCTTCCTTTCCTTTTGACTCCAGTGATCCAGTGTCAGTGAGTATATGTCTCCTTTGTCTGGAGTCCCACACCCCACAGGCTCCTCCTCTCCGAGCTCCGAGCGGACAGGCAGGTTTCTCCACAACCCATTAAAGTACAAACACAACTCCGCCTTCTTCCCCTTTTCCACCAACTGCATGCACAATCTCTCCTCCACATTTGTGCTCTCCCTACAGAGAGAGCAGGCCGGTGCAGATGACAAACTGAAGGTGTGTTTCCCTCTGTGGAGGTGGAAAGAGATGAAAAAAAGAAGGCAGGGAGAGGAGTAGAAAGAGGAGCCGGAGCAGCAGCAGGTGTGTTCAGTTTCTGTGCTCCACTTGTAAACTAGAGAGGAATGTGAGGACATACATGATGTATCTGAGCCAAGGAATGATAACACACACCCTATGTGAGAGGCCAATGATATATAGATAGGACTCTAAGCTGAAAAGTGAACATGAGAAGTGTGTGAGGCAATAAAGAAGGGTCTTCAGCTCCTCCCCCCACTGTTACAGGAGCTGTTTTCAACTCACAGCACAGTAAGATTTATGTGACAGGCAGGGTTATGTTTGCGGGGAGGGAGGTGGTATAGCATTATTTGTGTGGCTCACATGTGTAGAAGTGGGAGGCAACATCCACCAACTCACCTGCCCCTAAGGTAAACATATGTGCGCTTCTATAAACAAAGTCCTGCTCTATCTCTCTCCTTGTGTTTGGACTGTGTGTGTTTGTGTTACTGCAGGGAGACAAAAACAGGCTCATGCTTCTTCTTGGTCTGACATATTTATTAGGTTCATATCTGAATGTACAAGCTAAATTGACAACAGGACACAGACACAATACTCCCTAAAAAAAGAAAAGAAAAAAGAAAACACCAGCATCAGTCCACTTTACAAAGAAAAGTAATTTACAACACGGCTGCCTTTCGCACCATCCTCCCCATACCACACAGATGTAATCGGCTTTAATGTGAGAAAGACTTTACATTTCACCTCAGGCTAAATGACAGACAATGCAATGAAGTAACAATTTAACACCCATTGTCTCCTTAAGTTTTGGGCCTCCACTGTAATACCCAATGTATGAATGAATGTGCAAACTAAACGGCATTTAAAGATGACTGTGTTGTACCTAATGCCATTATGCATAACATAACACCACACCCGTAGCTACACTGCACACACACCACACTCACACAGCGAAACACACAAAGGTAAGGGTCAGACGCAGTGCTAGGTTGGGAGAAGACGGGATGGCATATTCTGACCCTGTACACACCCTGACCAAAAACAGCCCTGTTTCTCTCCTCTAACCCTGACGTAAAGAAATGCTTGCTCTCAGTGCAGCTCCACTCAAACAGCTCACAGTGCTGAATGGATAAAAGCATAATAACTAAGATAAATCTTCAAAGTCTTTCTGCGGCATGTGGAATCCTCTCCTAACCGCCTAAAATCTTCATCACATGAGTAAAACAGCATGAGAGAGGGATGAAACAAAGACGGCTTCAGATAAATCTAGAACTGTGACACCATTGCAAGAAAGGAGGCTACTTCACAGATATTAAACCCAGCTGTTCCACTGGTGGGAAGACACACTTTGGCAGAAAGCATTGAAGAAAAACTACTGAAGTATCTACAGAATTCACTCGTCAAGTCAAACATTCCCACCTCCTTTAAGTGGGGAATAATGTGCACCACCAAACCAAAAGTGCTTCTTGAAAAAAGTGCTTTTTAAAATAAATACAACAATCTATGCAAATAGTTTCAGGCATATATGCAATTAAATTCAACTCCTGCCCTGAGAAAGAGAGAGACGAGGAGAAAGATAAAGCATGACTGTCTGGCACACTTAAAGAAAAAAGTTTATTACAACTTGGGTTCTGTTTGTGTCGTATTTCGCCATGATGTTTATCTGTTATGATATACATTGCACTCAACAAATGTGAATAACATGATCAAACTGACTTTAAACAAGCCTACAGTAAAGTCAGATTACCTGAACAACTTTATTTTGAGGCAAACACGCATATTTGCTCATGTTGGTATGGCCATTATTTTCATATTGATTAATCTGACAAGTATTTTATTGTTTACTTTCACATTTGTTCAGCTATGGTTGATAACAATCCCTCATTACATAGGAAATGTTATACACACACACACATTATGTGATAAATGGTGAAGCAGTGGTTATGGCATTATTTTAAATGTAACCACTGTTCTTTGTTCTCATCACGATTGCTCAACTGATGAATGAAAAGAAGCCCAAGTTCTAATAAACCGGAAATATCCTTTAAGTCAATAATACATACTGTACAGCAGAGTACCGACACACATTCACACACACTCCCAAACCTCCATGTAGGAAGCATTTATCAGAGGAACAGGAACTGATGCTGGGGCTTCAACCGAAACACAGACATCATTATTGCCTCATTTCAACAGTACAACATACACACATACTATACATACGTTGCAACCTGCAAATCAATCGCCTTCCCATACATTGGATTTATTCCAAAAATAGATATAATGTTTATATATACTGTTTACATTAATATTACGTTAACATATTACCAAGAATAGCCACAACCTAATACAGGTTCAAATTTCACAATATTACATTTAAACAGCTCTGAGGGTGATATGAATTGGTATGTGCACGTCATTGAGTTTCTTTTTTTGCACGTGTGTATAGATCTGGTAATACATGTGTGTGTGTGTGTTACAGAGGTGTGCTATCTTTGAATCTGCATACCTCTCCTTTGACCTGAGAATGCACTCTGTACCACAACTGTAACACACATACACACACATCTACACACATGAATACAACAGCACACACACCTCTAATCTATACGAGTCCGTCAGAGGTTCGGGGAGGAAGTGACATGTGAGGCGCCCAAATCTGATGCTCCAAATTAACAAAGAGAGAGCATTTATATTACACTTGATCAAAGCACATGTTACTTTGGATTGAGAAATGATTTAGATAGCAGTTGTGAAAAAATGTCATCACTCACACATCTGCACTAATGAAATATCTGCCTGGCATTTATGTTATAATGCTGAAGAAAGAAAATGAAAGCTAAGTAAGCATCTTGGCTTTTGTAATCTTGGCTGATTATTTGTATACAGTTTTCCTTACTAAAGTGTAAACAGTCAAATGTTCTAATAGAACACATCTCTGAACTGTGATTTGGTGTCCAGAGAGCAGACATGCTAAAACATTCTGAAATTTGATGCTGAATTTAATATAGGTGACATTTCAGACGACAGCCTCTCAACACTACTAAAGGAAAGAGTCTCTCTCCCCCAACTTCAAGGGGAAAATCAAATGTTGTTAAATATTCCAGAATTTGTCTTTCAAGGTCATGTATGATGAGATGTTCTTAAAAATGCGTTCCATTTTGAAGTGGTTCAGGTAAAATGATATCATGAAGGTACAGGATAGATCAATGTTCTTTTTGAGGGAATATGTGTTATATGAGCATACACACTGTAAGGGCTGTTTGACCTCCACACTGAGCGTCTACCACTCTCCAGACACAAAAAGGGCCATTGGAAGGCTGCTAACAGGAAGCAAAGGTGGCATTGCTGAGTGTTGAATGGACAGTTATGAAGCATGTGTGTGTGTAAGTGATTGTGTGTGTGTGTGTGTGTGTGTTGAATAGTTAGGCCGGTCCATTAGCAGAGGGCTGCGTCTCTCTGTAAAGTAAATAAACACACAAAGTTATGATGAGTATGATATACAGAAGAAAGGACATGTATTTTTACACAATGTAGGTGAACAGAATCGATTCAGGGATAATTTGTGATTTCTTTTGTATAATTCTATAACATGTGAGAAATGCAGATGTAGCCTGGTTGATTTAAGATACCCACGAAAAGGGAGACAAAAAAATGAGGATTTGGGGAATTTACATACATTCGGTTTAAAACCTTTAAAGTGCAGAAAATAAGTGACTATCATTTTAAAGAAAAGGAAATAAAGGCTGTCACTGAGAATAATCCATAAGAAACAAGCCATTTTTTCTTAGCATCTATAGAATAGTTTGTATGTATACAAACGCACACTTACTCACACTTACTGTGTGACAGCAGCTGACGGGTTGATTGGACCGGCGGTAGTTGGGTTGGGACAGTCTCCTTGTTTCTCTCCCTTTCCACTTTCTTTCTCATCACCTTTCCCCTTGTCTTTGATCGAGAGTCCCTCCAGTGGCACCTTATCTGCTTCGCTGCAAAAAACAAAAAAAAGCTGTTAGTGATTAAAGGCATCGCTCAGGATTGTCAGTTGATCTCTCAGCGTAAAGAACTAGCTGCAGATGCTACTTTTTTTCTCTCTGCAAAATCTCCCAACAGTTGTCCGCTTCCAGCTGTCCACACAGGCCGTAACCATGCCCAGTACAGCACTCCTCTATTTCTCCCAACACGATGGCTGTGACCGACCAACATCAGAGGGAGTTAGTGCACACAGTTGCGGAGGTTTGTGCTGACTTGGTTAATCTGGAAATCCAATATGGAGCTATTTCTTTGTAGCATGCTTGTGGGTTAGCTGTTTGTTAGTAATTTGCTTATGTACGGATTTGTTAGAATGCTGATATACTGGATTGGTAGCAACTTTTGTTCAAAGCATGCTATCTGACATACTGTTAGTAGTTATAAAACTACAGTTAGTGGTTATACACTGCTCTCATCCTTTGAGGTAACAGCATTTGATATCTAAAATGGACACTGGACTGTTTCATGCCGAGGGTCACAGCTGAAGTTACAGATTAATTGTGAGAACATGGAATAAGCTTGGCACAGGGAATGAGGTCCTGTAGATATTCTACAAGCCTCTAGTTGTGGGTTAGTATATTCTTGTGATGGATTAGACTTGTCCTGAATCAAGGCAAGGAATTGTTAAATCACATCCTGTTAAATGCAACGAGCAGACCAAAACAATTGGCTCATCTGTGCTCATGATGGCCTTTTAATCCTTCATACAACTTCAGTAACACATTCCGCACTCCAGAGCAAAGGACCTCAAACATACCGTCTGACTGCTGGTCGGAATACTCTGGAGTCAAGAGGAGATGAGAAAGGAGGGAACAGACAGGAGGAGGGCAATATCAGAAGAACAACAGAAGGCGGAAGTAATAATGTGCAGAAGAAAGTTGGTAGAGAAAGGGAAAGACAAGGGGACACACTGCACAATTAAGGCCGGAGCAGCTGCACATTATTTCTGTATGAGCATGTCTACCTGCTGAAGACTGCCCTTTCATTTTTGGTGTCCACCATGAGCCGAATTGTCTCCTGGCCAGCGCCCGTGGTGATGGTCTCTGTGGTGACGGTCTCGCTGGTTGCAGACGCTTTCTTGCCTTCTTCGTCTTCGCTGTCAGAGTTGCTGGAGGAAGAGCTGTCCGATGCCACTAGTGGAGCTTTCCTCGCCACACACACACTCCATACACATGCTGCAGAGAGAGAATGGGAAGAAATCTTCTGCTTTACTATGGATGTATGTAGGGGTCAACTCATCGCAATAAGTGAGAGGTAGTCATTAGAGCTGCTAAATCCACATAGGTTTGGGTCATATGACTTTAAGATTCTGACAGATTACTTAATCTCAGCAGAGTTTACCAGTCTTGGTTTCTGATGCCAGACAGAATAAATGTGTTCTGAAATTGTGACCATTTTGTACAAATGATGTGTTTGCAGCAACTTACGGTTCTGGTTTGGTTTAGTGTTGCCTGAACCGCTGAGCTCAGAGTCCACAGGAGAGCTGCATCTGGGGCCTGTTTCAGAGCTGGGGACATAAGTCACAAACATGGGAAAACATGAAAATTCAGTACAGCTGAAAAAACTACAGACACTAAGCCATTGTATTTTCAAGTGTGTATTTGTCCCCTTTATAATGTGTGTCTTTCTTTTCTTTGAATATTTGAAGTCAAAACTATTATCCTGTCTTTTTTAATTATGCTTCAATGTGTAGTTATGTATTTACTGAAAGGGAGATGCAACAAATATTATTAGCTTACATATTTTGACAATATTTTCATCAAAACAGGGCTTTGGGATGCAATATCTCAAATAAGTTCCTCATGAAGAGGACTCACCAACAGAAAGGCTGGAAGTCAGTGAACTTGGCCCATCCTTTCTCCTCTCCCTCGGTGGCAGCTGGTTTGGAGTCTGGAGTGTCCCAAGCAGAGAAGCCCACTCCCGCTGCAGGAGCCTTTGAGTTTACCTCCCCAAAGTCTGCTACCCAGCCGGTGTCTGGGGGGGAAGTTCAACACAGACTTTCCATGAGACACCCGAAAATGTATGGCAAAACAATTATGCATTACTACAGAATTCAACATTTCTCACTCTTTGTTGTCTCAGTTGCCAAGCTAGAGAAGGGATCCAGGTCATCTTTAGGGCCATCCTCCTCCTCAGAGTCTGAGCCTGCTGCTCTGTCAGAGGCCTCGGTGCCAGACGCTGCCGTCCTCTCACAATCTTTACTGGCTGCTGGGCCCTGAGATGAGCGTGACCCACCAAACCTTAAATCAAACAAAAACACTTAGGATTTTTGATTGAGCGAACATTATTCACAACTTGTAGCATAATGCTGGAATACCATGCAGAGCAGTGATAGCATCTGGATTCACGGTCTCTCTACCTGTTACGGGACTTGGTTTGTGTTGCAAAGTTGATCCCTTTCTCCTCCCAAATGTCCTCTTCATCATCATCAAAGGGCTGAATTCTCTCCTTGGAGCAGGACTCAAACACAGCTGTATTAGCCTGCAAAAGATGGTGGTCATATCCAACATGTAAAGTTGAATCAGTATACATCCAGTCCTAATGCTGTATAACAAGTGTTACAATGATGGCTACGTAAAACCTAAGTGTGGTATTTTTTTAGGTAGTTTACTTAATGCATCTTTATGAATTACTAAAGAAATATTGGGGCCCAAAGGATTACAGAAATACAACTACTAAAATATATGTGAGAGTACATTTGTGTAAATAAATGTAATAAACTCACAGACTCCTGGCCTGCGTCGATATTGATATTGATTTCTGCAATCCGGTCAAACGTTGCTCTGCCGTAAAGAGTACACATTACTAAATTGACACACAATAACAGTTCACTGTGAGATATTGAGCCACTTTAAATCATTTACCCAATGCTGTCGTCATGATCGGTAAACTCCTCATCATTGAAGCCAAACTGATCCACAAAGTTAGCTGTCATCTGCTGGATCTGATAGTCTGAAAAAGCCTAAACACACAGTTTTATAGTAGCTTAGATTAACATCCCAGATAACTTCAATATAACATGTGTATGGTGTTGCGACCCCCTCCACTCCACTAGGGATCTCTGCCTTTGTGTTCTGCTTGCTGGCTCTTGTTTGTGTTTCAGGTGATCAACCTGATGAGCCACACCTGGGCCGTCGACATAAAAGGCCAACACCAACCCATACTGCCCTCTCACTCTTCTGTTGGACACGGCTGCGTCTTTGTTTCTGCACATTTTCACACACGCAATCATTACTGATAACTGACTTCCACATTTATTAGGTTTCTTAGAAGACCTTTGGTTTTTGTGGTATTGTAAATAAACATGCTTTTTGTTACACTTTACTTGTCTGGTCTCCCATCTTTGTTGCAGCCTATGAGCCAGGCCGTAACAGCGGGGTTATGTATGTATACCTGCTGTAGTGTCAGTTCTTTAGGGAAGGGGCTCTCCATATCATCCTCTGAAGAAGGCCGTGGGTTTCCAGTGCCAACCTGGACATGGGAAAAAACAACCTAAATGTATCATTTTAAGTTCAAGTGTGTGTGTTGTTACAAACAGCTATTAAATACTGCTGTGTGTGTCTTTACCAGGTCTATGGTGTTCTTCCTATTAGTTTCCGACAGGGTCTGGTCCACAAAGGTTTCCCAGCGCCCTCTGTAGTCCTCCGGCAGCTCTACATCCAAAAACACAAGAACAGCAGCATTGAGTACAATAAGAGTGCCAGTTCATTAAATCCCTCTTTCCTTTTCCATAGGTATGCGAGTGTATATATCCACACACACCTGTGATGAGGCTGCTAATCTGTGTGTGAACTGGGCCCTTCTCCAGATTGTGGACTACTGTGTTGGCAATCCTGGTCAGATGTCCCATGTACCCTCTTCTCATACCACCTTCAGACCTGAACATAGAAAGATAGCATTTAAGAAACTCCATAGCTGTACTACCTGCTAGTGAAATCAACATCATGCCCTTTAGATTCTTACTGTATTTTATCGTTCTCTTCCCAAGCCTCCAGAATCCTCTGCACAAGGTGGCAGTGCTGAAACAACTTGTGAGAGACAAAGATAGAGTCAATTAATTGTTTTATTTCAGAAAGATGCACCGAAGTGGGTGTTCCAGTACATTAAATGTCATTTAAAGCTACTATGAAGAACATTATTTGAATTGGACTTAGTTATCCCTACGGACAAAAGGGGTACTTTTAATTTTGCAGCAGCACAATTTCAAGGGAATCGGAGCCAGCAGCACAGATTAAAGGGCATTTTTTCTATTTGATGGTGTCATTTACTTGTGTAGGTCATTTATATACATCAGAAATACATTGAGACTGTTTTATAACCAGTTAAAAGTTCCTCGTAGTAACTTTAAGCCTCTTGCTTCAAACACAAGCAGAGACACCTACATGAGTCACCATTAGATTGTGTGCAGAGTTTTCAGGGGTGGCTGGAGGTTCAGAAGGTGTATCAGTCAAAGCCTGCTCTTGTGAAACATCCTGATGAGGTTGGAACTTTTCCTGGGATCCCAAGCCAGGCTGAAGTCTCATTTCGTGGGCACAGGGCCGGAGGATGGCAGCAACACAAAGCTCCACTTGGAGGTGCAGGAAGTTGTTCCATGTATACTTGAAAAACAAGTCCTGAGAAAGACAAAGATTTTGCAAATGCACATTTAACATTTATCACTTTCTCAACATTGTACTCAGCATGTTCGATCATCTCACCAGAAGCAGGTCCAATGTATTGAGTCGGCAGAGTTCCTGTGCTACGACCGCGTGGCTTGCAGAGCTGGTATACAGCAGAGAGGCCACCAGTCTAGCTACGTGCAGACGTGTGTTCCCTAATGGTTCCTCCAGCACACCCAGAGTGGTCAGCATGGGAGTTCGCTGCAAGTGCACATTTGTAAGGCATGGATTTGGTTAATAACAATCTACTGGTTTAGCAGAGTTTTTTGAAAGAGGTAACAAATCTACAGCAAATATAATCTAAATGAAGGAAGGGCTCTGTAGCAAAAATGGGAATATCCTTGGTATTCATTGCATGTTCAAATAGGATGGCATATCATATTCAGCCTTATCTATATACAAGATAATATTAAAGAGCTATAAATGATTATATCTATGGTTACATACCTTGGGTGGCTCCAGAAGTAGCTGGTGGAAGTGTTTCAGGTGTGGTTGGATGGCCAACAAAATACTGCTGTTAACAGTGTAGCTTCTCTCAAACCCCTGAGCATCCATAACACCATCCACCCTGTCATGATAAAACAGACCAAACACATCAAAAACAGGAAATAGATAGATAAAAAGATCATTTATTAAATTGTTACTAAAGAGCGCTGTGACTAACTTCACCAAGCCTGGGTTTTCAAAATGAAAAAACAAATATCCTTAGAAATAGTGATATCTATAATTATTTTAAAAATGCTTAAAAGTCTCACACTCACACAGGCCTCCTGATTTCCAGTAATGTTAGAAGAACTTGAATTCCATTGACGATACAGCCCTCAGTACTCTCTGCTGTGAACATATTCTGCAGCAACTGCTCCACACACACCTGCCTGTGGAAACACAATTAAGTATGTCATTACTTCCACGTAAAGAGAGTGCGAGCATCTCTCTGTGTGTGTGTGTGTGTGTGTGTGTGTGTGTGTGTGTGTGTGTGTGTGTGTGTGTGTGTGTGTATATATCTGTCTGACGTACGACTCCAGCACAGTCAGCAAAGGGTCAGGCTGTGAAATCTCTTGGAGCTGATTAGCCTGGTCTCTGCTCAGACGAATGATGTCGCACAAAGTTTGAGATGCATTGGACTGCCTCTGTGAGAACAAAAACACAAGAATACACATGGATATTAGGTCTTGTTAATTACTTAGGGGTCTGCACATACTAAGGATAGTATGTTTCAGCACTGGATTGAGTTACTTATTATATAAAAATACTGAAATGCCTATGTACCTCATCATCTCTCTCTGGGTGAATGAGCTCTATGAGTCTCTGAGCTAGCTTCTCTTCATTCAGCCACTGTTGAGAAAAAGTGAACAAAATTAAAACAATATCAGTGTTTAACGTGTAAAGGTAAAGTATTATTTTGTCCTATTTGTCTCATACAATAAGTGTCTCGAATCGCAGAGGGGGTGGCTCTACACAGCTGATAAGTCTTAGGAGGACATCCATCATGGCTGATGTATCAATGTGCTTCAGGACCAAGGAAAGAAATCCCTCTTTCCGTCGCAGGAAACTAATCACCTGCAAAACACCATGTCACAAAAATTACACAGAACTTAAATATACTGATATCTCTATTTATATCCATGAATCTATGCGCTCATCTTTCTGTTACCATTTTGAAGAGAAAAATATTACAGCTATCTTGAGAATTATTCCCAAAATGAGAAGTCTCCATTATCTTACTGTTAACACCTCTCATATTCTGTTAACAAAATTACAACAACATCACAAAAACATAGCTCTCATCTTCTCTCAGTATGCCCTTTGATTTAGCTGTGTGAGTGTGCGTATGTGCGAGTGTGTGTTACCTGCTCAGTCTTCCTCGTGATGAGGTTCCCAATTGTCTTGCTGAAGAAAGATGCCAGGAGGGGGTTGAGTGGGGACGGCTGCTCCAGGAAGGCATACAGAGTTTCCAGCAGAGGCTCCTCATTACCCAGCTTATCATTGATCACACCCACATCAGATGTCAATAGCTCACATGCTATATTTGGATACCTGTTATAAATGAAGGGACCATGAATTGGGTTGAATTTGTTCACAACATTTTAAAAAGGTTGTACTTATGTATCTCATTTACACTTGTAAAAGATGTTCTTAGTTATGTAAATGTATATAATGTATGTCTGTGAATTATCTGTGCGTCTGTCCATGCTCAAACTGACCAATACAGTTTGAGCATGGACACGTCTGTCCATGCTCAAACTGTATTGGTACACAAAGTTCTCTAGCAGGTAAATATTTATTATTCAAAATGCGTTGTCAATGGATGGCTTAAATAGTTGAATCAAGAACCTGAAGCCACTATAGTTCTCATCTTTACTACAAAATGGCAGGTAAGAGATATGACTTAGTGCAGCCACAGCAAAGCACATCCTTTCCAGGATACAGTACTACATCAGCACATTCTAGCACCTACTTGAAGCGCTTCATCTCCTCTACACCAGCAGGGGGCTCTGTAGTAATCATACGGACCAAATCCTGCATGCACTGGTCCTGGCACATGAACAGGAGAAGTCTAAAAATCCATAATGATGAGAAAATAAGCAGTAGTTAGCACAAGCAGGGATTACTGGAAACTGAAATGTAATAATATCATATTGTGCTGATGTGCCAAAGTAAACAATAAACTGACCTCCTGTTCTGGGCCTTGCACTCCTGCAACACATCTTCCTCGTCCATGAGCTCACTGAGAGTGACATCCTCCTTGTCGAGTAATGCCTCCAGGTGAGAAGATGTGTGTAAGTCAAACTTCCAAAACATGGCTGACGTCACTGGCACATACACTTAGCTGTTGATCAAAAGAGGATGTGACAGGGTGATCAGTACCCTGCAAAACACATGTTTTAAATGGTTGCTGGACAGTTACTTTTGTGATAAAATATGATTACATGTATGTATGCTCTTACATTTGGACAAAGAGTAGTATCCCCAGACAGAGGTTGCTAAACAGCTATTCGCCTCATTCACATTGCATGGCGTGGACATCTATCAGCATCAGCAAATTCGCACAATGTAGACATAAACACAACCACTTCATTCAACCTGAAAATGAGAAAATAATAATCAACCATTTTACAGAAAGACTTCGAGGATGACTTGCTCTGCCTTCCTTTTAGCCTGAAGAAGAGTTAAGTCAGCACATGTGCAATGATGCACTCCTCACTGGAGAGAGCAGGAAGCAATGCATCTGCAATTGAATTACCACTGAACATCTGTGTGTATTAACAATATTGGGCTTTCTTTGATAATGTCCTCACACATACAGTTACATCATCAAACGATGACTGGCCTGAGGATAATAACAAAACAAACCCCTGCAAGAAGACACTTTTTATAGTTTTATAGATTTTAATAATTGAGAAAACAAATGTGTCAGCCAATACATTGGGAGAGGATTATTGAGGCATGCATTAGCTGACATTTATGTTACTACGGAGTGCAAACTTGAGATTGGTGTGATGATGATTACAGTGAAACACAGGCAGAAATGATCTGTCACATGCCTGTGACATGGGGGGGGGGGGGGGGGGGGGGGGGGGTCAGAACATTACACCCCCCTAACTAAAGCAGACCAGAGACACACCTTAATAAAATCATCAGGCCATTATCTATTGATTTAAACAGTTGATCACCATGATGCACATGATGATGCTTATCCAGCCTGTGTTTGTTTAAATTATGGTCTTATCTTATGTAGCCTACTGCAAAGTCAGAATTCACACACTTTTAGAACATTTGTAACATGCTCACAGTGTAAAATCAAGGTTGATTATAATGCTCATTGACAAGGCACCATTCAAATTGATTGCATAACAATAACGATCTGTGAGTATGATGCCCTAGTATACACATCCCTTTAATAAACATGTTGAGGATCAACAAACAGGTGTTTATCGTTCCAGGAATTGAACCTTTTCCCAGAGCTAGACATTTAATTCCATACAACAACACAACCATTGTCAGCTTAAACACAGGCCTTTCTAGCGTCCTATGATCAGCTGGGAAGGGGTACTGTTAGTTAGCAACAGATCTTAGTAACAACAAAGTAACAGTTATATCACCCTGCATTGAGGTCACCTATCTTATCCAGACAGTTATCTTAATTTAACGCTGTATGAAACTAATCTCCTGTAACCAATCTCCATCCTTGCTTTTACAGCTGGTGCCTTTCACTTACCCTGCACACAGGTCGTAAACCAGCCCGCTAGCTGTGTCCTAACCGTGTTGCTAACGTTACCAAAGTATTTAAATACCGGTACCAATGTGAAAGGATGTCTGTATTAGCTCAAAAGCTAACATTGGTCAGGTACTTAACACGGCTGCGTGGCTAGGTGGGATGATGCCCTCCTTATTTAAGACCTAGCGGTACTGTCCTTCCGACCACTTGACAGCAGGGCAGCTCGTACCGGGAATATATTATGTTACTAAGGTTTTGCTCCCAAAACACAAGCAACTTTTACCTTGTATCCATCATATTGTCCATCGTCATCTACAAGCTGAACGGAGACTCGGGCTGTCAGGTCATCCAGAGGCCCATAGCTGGCTGTTCATGACTGCGTTGTTAGCTTGAAGATGCTACCGGTTGCAATGTCATCAACACTGCCGTTACACGGAGCTTAGCCTGCCGAGCGGCGAAGCTGATCTATGGTGTGTTGACAATGTCCAAATTACACTTCAGCAGGCAGGCAACACAAATATCTGTCAGATTTGCAAATCAAAATGGCGGATACCTAAAACGTAATCAAAAGTTCAGCTGTCCATCAACTGTGTAAACATAAAGACCAACTCCGGGTTTATGTATTGCTCCCTGTAAGAGTGCTGCCAGGAAAAGGTGGTACTGCAGATTAATAACTCTCAAACAAAACATTAACATGAAAACATTCAAATATAATTAAGAAATAAAATACCTTTAATTTAAAGAAAATTCAATAACACATTTTTACTTTCTTCGGTCTTGATACTACTCTCTAGCCTTGGACACCTGACAGTCTGTCAAGTGTTTATGGACTGTCCCAAAGCCCAGGGACCAATCTGAACCTTGAATATTTACAAATTATTTTCAAATATGAACAAAATCAGCAAGTAATACACATTTGCGACCTATTCAAGGATTATAAACAGCCATGGAAAAAGGATATCTCAAAATAGTGTTCATGACCCCATGACTCTGTGTCCCCCCCCCCATGCTGCCCTTGAACAGGATTTTGCCCCAGTTTCAGGTTACAGGTCTTCCCATTCATTATTTTACCATTATGTGCATCTGCAGCTGAACTGTGGAACTGTATCATCTGGTAATCACAGAATGTATACATCATATATTTGCTGAAGAGATAATCCCTGAGAGTCCAGGTACTTTGTCTCCTTATAGGTCAGTGGAAGTAGGCTATTCAGATCATTTACTTATGTAAAAAAAGCAATCCCACAATGTTGAAATACTCCACCCCAAGTAAAAGGCAAAAATAATGGCAAAAAAAGAAATAGAGAGTAATGCAATTTAAATATCAACAGGAAACGTTTTCATTAAGCAGAATGGCCCTGTGAGAGTTATAGGCTATTAATAAAATATGGGATAATAATAATGCATGTAATACATACAAGTAGTAACCCACTTTAATATTGCTGTTGATTTAAGTGTATCACATTTGGACTGCTGTATGTACTTTGTGGTCGTTCAATTAAAAACAAATACATATTTTATAAACCAATATGTATGTACACTTAATATGAAAAGTAACGCCTGATGATAGCTGGAAAATATTATTACATAAGTATTTTTTTTAAATAGGTAGTGTCTAATATTCCTCTCAGGTTGCTATTCTAATTGGTAAATATAAATGTCCAAGCTTCATGTAACAAGCAGAAAACAGGGGCTTTATGTTGTGATACAAAGTCTGGCTGACACCAGCTATAATATTATAAGCATAATTAAACCACAATTCATTTCATGAAAATCTCCTGGGATGCTGGCAATGTCTCAGGACACCGGTTGGACCTTATTTTGGCGCCCTATGGAATGGGCCTTTAAATTCACCTACTTTAGTTAAATGCTGAACTTCTTCAGATGGAAATTCCATGATTTGGGTATATACTTAAAAAGCCAAATGTACTTGTGGTTAGTGTATATTAATTAATAATATGACATTATAATAATGAATGTTTTGGTTAAAGGTTTTATTGTTATATTGAACCTGTAAAGTAGCCTTACAATACTCAGGTTTACTGCCAAGTAGGTTAACACATACAAGGACATTTTTGTGTATTATGGTGCATACATGAATACAGTAAGGGGAATTTTGTTATGAAAAAAATAGCAAATATAGAACTAGGCTTCTACAAAAAAAAATCTTTAAACTAATATTTCGGAAAGCCACAACTAACCAGAAGCTAAAATCATGAAAATGCAATGGGGTAAAATACTTGATCTGAATTGTGGTGGAATATAATTCAGTAGCATGAAATGAAATACTTAAAAGTAACTAATATTAAAACATTCCCAATTGGAAACACACCATTTAATTCAAAAAACATTATGAGGATACATTTGACGTAAAACATGAGCCCAGTAATTGTTTTAGAAATAATGTGGTGACTGTTTTGTGGCATTTGTTTCTGAAAGGATGTGAGTGTATGTCGTATTATCTGGCAACCCCTGAGAGCTCCAGCCGGTGACTTGCTCTGCTGAACCTCCGCAGAAGGTCTTTCTGTGTGTGTGTGTGTAGCCGGTTAGCATCATGGCGAACGTTGTGGATACTAAGCTATACGACATCCTCGGAGTTTCCCCATCTGCCTCTGAAAATGAACTAAAAAAGGTACGTACTACCAATTCAAACGAAAAGCAAATGGTTTGATCAAAACCGTGTGGATAAAAAGAGAGCTTGCTATTGAACTGTGGCCTATAAACAAGCTAATCAACGTGAGCTAGGTTACTGTACGCTAAGGCTAGCTAAGGATTTTAGCCGCAGCTAGCGGGTTTGCTAGTCTAGCAAGTAAGCTAAGCTAGCTAGATAAGGATTCTGTACTCCATGGCACGGCATTTTTTGAAGACCATTAAAGCTACTTATTGGTGGTTTTGAAAGGTCAGCAATGTTTGGGACGTTCGTAGTGTTAAATGGCTGTAGTTAGCCTGCCCGAAAAACAGGAATACACTGGTCACCACGAGTGTGATAGCCTACCGGCTATTGACGTCAGCTGATACATTCCAGCAAATAGTCGTAACCAAGTCGCGCTGAAATTCAATTAAGTAACATCTAAACAACTCGTCTGAAATAAATAAGTAGAAAATAAACACTCTGGTGTTTGGTGTAACATGTATTGACGCTAAACTTGGCTTGAGTAAACGTTTATCGATCGTGTTGGTTACCACGAATGTGGTATCTAGATAACGTTAATGTCACTCGACGTAAGCTAACGTTAACGATATACGTCTCTGTTTACCGCAAAGTCCATTCAAAATCAGTCAACCAGGGGTTGTTTGTACTCATCAAACGTTAGGCCCTTGCTAACATGACTTGAGACATTTATCCAGATGTTTATTTCTCGTATATTCTTTGACATAAGTAAACCACATGAACTAACCTAATGTTAATGTGACGTGAAGACAAACGCCCATCCATGTGTTTTTTTCTTTCAAAGAAATCAGCATTCAAGGTGGTTGCGACAACCGACAGTGTGATTTACTTTCAAAACGATTTTTTGTCAACATGAAGTGCTTTCAGATTTATGTTAGTGAATTCTCGATTTGCCAGAAGACCATGATAGTTGTGTCTTGTCAGGTTAACACAAAAGAAGGGTTTCGGATGTCATGTTGTTGTCTTGCGCTCAAGTATTTTGAAGTATAGTATAAGTGTCGAAGATGTCAAAGGCAGCGATGCTCTTTCCAGTGTCCTGGTGTTTTTGACAGCAGGCCCGCAAGTCAAGCCCTTGGCTAGCGAAGGATATTTAATAGGCCTACATTTAGTGATTTGCTAGCAGAGCTATTTGACACAGTTGGCACATAGATCAGCGAGTAAACACAGATTTGTTCACTTTGATGTTTGGTTTATTACAGGCCTACCGCAAATTGGCCAAAGAGTACCACCCTGACAAGAACCCCGACGCTGGAGACAAGGTAAGATGCACCAAAACATTTTATGTTAACAGTAGCAACATCATAGTTAGCAACAGCACCAGCAGCTCCATTATTCAACAATTGGGACCTAGAAATGATGTCAACTTAGTTTATTATGATCACACAGCCTACCTCTTTGAGTATTAAGACAATATACAGATCAAAGTACAGCATATGAAACGGTATTTCCCTAGTGAGTGCACATCCATGTTTGATTTGTACTTCTCGATGACTTTATTTGACACATTCTGCAAGAACATGACACAAGAGACTACACTGTATTTTGAGTTTTCTTTTTACTCCGTCACAGAGGCTCATCAAAAACAAAACGTGGGCCTTTTGCTGTGATCTACTGATTTGTTTGTCTCCTAAACTATGTCAAGCTTTCTGATTGCTTCTTTTGTTTTGTTTTCCAGTTTAAAGAGATCAGTTTTGCATACGAGGTTCTGACAACCCCAGAAAAAAAGGAGCTTTATGATCGCTATGGAGAACAGGGGTTACGGGAAGGAGGTGGCGGAGGAGCTGGGATGGACGATATCTTCTCCCATATTTTTGGCGGAGGACTGTTCGGGTTCATGGGGGGACAGGGCAGAGGACGCAATGGAGGCAGGAGGAGAGGGGATGACATGGTACACCCTCTGAAGTAAGTGTGTTAGATAAAAACAGTTTGGGTACTTACGATGGGTATTTCTAATATATATTGTGTTGTTGAACTCATCTTATCCATTTTTGTCACTCAGAGTTTCTCTTGAAGACCTCTACAATGGCAAAACCACCAAACTGCAGCTCAGTAAGAATGTTCTGTGTGGTGCCTGCAATGGGTGAGTTGCTTTAAATTCTTCAATTTAATCATCACATGATTGGAAACTAGTTTTAATCGCAGCAATTATAGACATTCCTGTTAACAATGCCGCTGTTTCCCTTTTTAGTCAGGGGGGTAAGGCAGGAGCAGTGCAGAAGTGTGTGGCATGCAGAGGACGAGGTATGAGAATCATGATAAGACAGCTGGCCCCTGGGATGGTCCAACAGATGCAGTCCGTCTGCACAGACTGCAATGGAGAGGGTACTTATATCTGTTAAAACTCACACACGTGCTATACTTTAAAAATACACAGATATTTTACTGAAATGAGCACAACGTCCCTCTGAAATCATCTCATCTCTATATGTGTGCAGGTGAGGTGATAAATGAGAAGGACCGCTGCAGAAAGTGTGAGGGTCATAAGGTGAGTAAGGAGACCAAGCTCCTGGAGGTGCATGTGGACAAAGGCATGAGGCACGGACAGAAGATCACATTCACTGGGGAAGCTGACCAAGCACCAAACATCGAACCAGGAGATATAGTCCTGGTGCTGCAGGAGAAAGAACATGAGGTAAAAAAACAAAAAACTGTTGGTTTCAAATAATACATTTATTTATTGTCATAGATAAGTAAACATTCTTTACAGGATGTTTTTACACTTATTCGATGTAGATGTTAAAATGAAACTACAACAAACCTTTCAATTCAATCTAAATCAGGAATTCCGCCGCGATGCCAACGACCTTCACATTGTCCAGCGCATCGGCCTGGTTGAGGCTCTGTGTGGCTTCCAGATGACCGTCGCACACCTCGATGCACGTCAGTTGCTTGTCAAATATCCACCTGGCAAGGTCATTGAGCCAGGTAAACATGTCTTCATACCACAATAATTGATTTGATCTCTTTTATTAAATCCATGCTCTTGTTTTTTTTAAAGCTAGATTTACACTCTCTATTAGCCATTTTTGCAACTAAGTCATTTTATTAATCTCTCACTCACTTTTGATATGATGCCAAACATCTAAAGTGGTGTACATGTATAAAGCATAGTTCTTAATTGCCTGACAATGTATAGTACATGGTTTGAACATTAAAAAGTCAAAGGTTCTTATTGCTCCTTCCTGCCTTTTATACACTTTTTGTTGATGTGTTTTTGTGGCAGGCTCTGTTCGAATGGTGAAGGGCGAGGGAATGCCTCAGTACAGAAACCCATTTGAAAAGGGAGACCTTTACGTCAAGTTTGATGTCCAATTCCCTGAAAACAACTGGATTAGCCCCGAAAAACTGAATGTGAGTGACTATCATTAAACATCCTGATTTGCACAATCTTAACTTTATTATTCTTGAATGATTGTGATGTCATAATGCATTTTGTATTAAACTCGATTGTAATTTTTCAGGAACTTGAGTGCTTGCTGCCTGCTCGCACTGAGAACCCTGTTATTTCAGCAGATGCAGAGGAAGTTGACCTGACAGAATTTGACAAGAGTCAAGGGTCAGGAAGTGGAGCCAGGAGAGAGGCCTACAATGATAGTTCTGATGAGGAAGGGGGTCATCATGGCCCAGGGGTGCAGTGTGCACACCAATAGAAAGACTCATAAATAAAGATGTGCGCACACATAAACGCATACATACATGAACGTCCCATTGCTAACATCGTCCAAGACATGACACGCATACATGCAGGTTTCTCTCAGATGTACACAAATACATTTACATGTATATCCACCCTCATCAGTTCCATGGTGCCCATAAAGTCAGAGATTTGCTGGACACGTGATGACCATTTTTGTGTTTATGGACAGTAGTGCTCGTCATAGCATCCAGCAAACAGGTTCATTGAATGAACTTGACTTGCACCACCCTGTTTTCATCCTAGGCTTTACCTTTCACTGTGGGGAAACACCAGTCTAGTGTATAAAATGCAAATATTGTTGACTATCTTGTATATGGTGTAGTTTAGTCTATCACACACAAGCGCATGCTGCTTTCTTGCTGAAGATCTTGCACTTGTATATCCGGGGTCCAGACAGGACACTACAGAGAAATCTGACACCACACCTGTTCAAATATCAGTGTGTGACTGCTATCAAAGTGCCCTGCTACCATAAGAGCTGACCTGAATACAGCCCTAAAAGTTTGTCCTCTGCAAAGCCTACTGAGAAGCTCATCCTCTAAGGTGACCCGTCATGTTTTGAAATGGGACAGTTTCTGTTAAGTCCCCTGGCTGTCACATTGCTAAAATATTAAAGTCCTTAGTAAAGCTCCTGTCAGCTATGTTTTCTTAGTTTGGAAATCAAACATGCTTTCTTTGTTTTGTTTGAAAGTTAGTGTGTCCGAGACCACAGAACTTGAACCTCAGTTGTGTACTGTTCATTTGGTTTGAGGAGATACGTGTGTGTGTGTGTGTAATGCAGTGGCTCAGTGTGTGTGAGCTGCTGTGGAATGTTCTGGCATATTAGAGCGATAGGTAGTACTGCTTTGTGTTGGACTGCAGTGTGAGTGGACACTATATAGGGTCAATTTTAAGAGGTAAAAAAGCCGAATGTTTATTTGCTATCCATGTAGACATTTCCCTCTGCTCACCAGGGTTGAGAGATCTTCCTCTCTTGCAGGAAAACCACTGGGCCCGCACCAAACCTATGTAATATACATATCTCCCCATCATAGTGTTGTTAGCCAAACTTACAACCTTTGACATGTTAAAATATTCCTGTCCCCATATACCTGTAAATAGCAATAGCCCGAGTCCAGAGGTGCATTCAAAGTCTACATCCGTGTCTGTCGTTTAGTCACATTATTTCTTACACAAGCGAGTAATGGTCAGCAGTGCCAATCTAAATGGTATGTTCACATATAAAAGAGTTGATGGAACCTCTGTAGACTGTAAACATGCACCTGTGGGACTCATTGTGTATGCATTTAGGCCACAGGGATAATGTGTACACAACTAAAGGGGGGGTCATTGATAAATGACATTACTGTTGATGCTTATGTTTGTCGAGATGATAATTAACTGTATAATAAACAACTCACTTCAAATTTGACATCTGTCTTATTTCATATGAACACAACACATCTTTCATTTTGTGTTAATACCGGAATGCAACAACATATGAATTATACGTGCACACATCAGAATATTATCTGATAATTAATCTGGGTAACACTCCTTGTTCAATTAGAAATGAATTAAAGAATCTGTAGTTCCTCAGTCTGCTCCATCATTTGTTTTTCTGCTGTGGAGAGCTACTGGACCCAGAAGTTCCTTAAATCCTGCAGTGTTCCTAGAGGATACAGACAGGAAGTACAGGAGGTGCTGGTAAACATATTGCTACAGTGTCTTGTTTAAACTTAGTCACCCGGGTACAAATAGCATTGTTCTATATATACTATATTCACCCAGGTGTGAATAGCATCTGTCCCTTACCTGGCTCGTTTGGACTGCATGACGTAGGAGCGCTCTCTTCTCAGCTGCTCCAGTCGCTCTTTGACAACCGTCTTTTGCTGATTCTTATCCTCCTAAAACGCAATACAAATACTGTTAATAAATAACTTTGATACAACTATTCAGATTATCTCAATATACAGCATTTTACCTGTGGGAGATCTTGTGTGAGGTGCCTTAGCCTGTCAGTGTGTTTCAAGCCAAGCAGGTCCTCCTCTGCCTTTCTGTTCTGGATGATGGACAGATGCTCCTGAACCTAAAAGACAAACTGTGTCACCTTTGTCTCACAAAACATCTGAATACTCTTTCAGTGCCTCCTTTCCACCTCTCTTTATTGGGTAAAGTTGTGCTAAAATCCCTCCTCAGCTTTCTCTCACCCTCAGTAGTTGTCTCTCTTTATCTCTCTGCTGCCTCTGTTCCACCTTTCGTTGCATGTCCACCAGGTTGCGCATTGTCCTTTCTCTCTCCATCGCAGACACAGGCTCTCTTGCTCGCTCTCTCTCCATCAGTGTGGATTCCCTCATTGCCTCTCTTCCTGCAGGGCTACAGTCAACCTTTACAACAGGAAACAGCAGATGTATGGCACTAAAATAAGTCCATTATGTAAACACTGGTTTAGCAAGTCTGCCCAAAGATGAAACAGCAGACTTACTGTGACTTGTGAGTTGTATTCGTGGTAATCAACATGAGCTGGTTCAGGCCCTCTCAGGTCCCACAGATCATTGGCACACATTTCCACCTCGAGCATTTCTCTGTCCACATCTGGGGTCTCTTTATTTCCCAGTTCAGAGCAGTAGTCACTAGCATGCCGCTCAACCTCAGGAGGTTCAAAGATGTTTAAAGCCTGCAGGGTCTCTGCTCCCAAAGCTTTTGTTTGCAGGTCACATTCACAATCTCCTTTCTCTGGTCGATAAGTTGTTGCTCTTTCCTCGAAGGTCAACTAATGAGAATTTTAGAAGGGAATAAAATCAGATGCATGTCATACAATGTTTTATGATCTGCTCTACACTTAGAGAGTACCTGTTCTACTGTGCTGCCCTGCTGGTCTGCAGACTGTGCGTGAGGATGATCTGTGGATTCAGAGTGGAGCAGAGTGGGTTTCTTCTCTTCTCTGTCACTCTCTGCAGAAGTCTCCTCACCCTGTGTGTGTTCAGCTGTGCTGCTTGTGTCACTTGACTGTACTTCCTGTCTCTGTGCTGCTCCTGCTGCCCCTTCTTCCTCATAGTCGGTCTCATCCTCTGCTGGTTGGCTCCAAGCAAAGGCGATCAGTGAGCCCTGTTTCTCAAAACTCTGGGGGCTCTTTGTTGCAGCGGCACCTTCTTCCTCCTGGGCTCCCCCGTCTGTGTTGTGAGTATTGCTGGTTGCATCTGATACACACAAGATCTCCAAGTAGGGCAGATCTTCCATGACTGCTCCACAACCTGGGGGAAAGTATAATTTTATAGTTGCAGTTTTTGGTGATCTGTGCATGCCTGTGTCTGCAGTACCTGTACAGACGTCCTGTTCGTCGGTACATTCTGTGGCCTGCACCACCTGTAGGTCACTGATTGAATCCACGCTTGAGGTTTCATCTGGCCCTTTGATGCTGTTTTGAGCATTGCTGCTACTTTCTTTTAAGTTTGGATCAGTAGTGGGTATTGAACCTGAAGTAAGAGGGGCGTCTGATATCAGTTGGAGGAGGTTGGTGTAGCGCGGTGCTTGAAGTTCAGATTTATATTCATCTCGCAGAGCTTGGACACTCTCTGCACTCTAACGGAAACACATAATTAACAACAGTTGGTGCTTTATTTAAAGATTGTGGAATCTTTGGATTGGATGCTGTGGTGGTCTGACTCACCTCGTCCTTCAGTGCTGGCAGTAATGTGGTCGCTTGGACCTCCTGGAGCTCCATCAGATGGGTCAACAGGAGCAGGGAACACTGCTCCAGCTGGTGTTTGTACCGCACTGCTGTTTGACTGCTTATATGAGGCTGGGGCTGATGGTCTGTTTGCTTTAAGGGGGTCTGAGTGTCATTGCTTGTCTGCAGGCCGGTATAGATTTGTCTCAGCCTTTTTATACAGGCATTTCTCAAAGCAGCTTCCGGGTTACTTTCTGCAGAAGAAACAAGAAACAAAAAATGAGAGAAAGCAAGCTGACAAGCATGCAGCAGAAATAGAAGAACATATTCATTTACCCTCCTTTGAAGGCACTGGTTCTTGCAAATCCTCCATGGAGACCCTGTTTGCCAACTGGACCAGGTGCTCTCTCTCCTGATCCTGAGTCAGCACCAGCAACTGCAGCACTGCCTGATGAAACAGGGCCAATGCTTTTGTTCTGATGCTCATACAACTACTGGAGTGTTTTTATTTCTGCCAATACTCAAGAAACATATACTCAGAAAAGAATATTACTTTAGGAGCAATGATATGACCTGATATGCTGCTTATGTCTCAGAACAAGAAATCTGACATTACCTGCTGTGGTGACACTGAGATAAAGTCTTTCTTCTGCTCTTCCTCTTCACCGTGTAGCCATAGGGTCGCCTGTTCTGCTCTGCAGGGACTCTCTACATGTGGCCTGAGAAGATATATGTGGGACAGATAGCATACACATGAAGCTGAGTGTGCAAAGTGCATAAAGACATGAAGATAGTGCATCATTTCCTCTTTCACCGTTCACTTTAACCATTTGCTCACCATGTCTCCCAGGACTGCCGAGCTGCCAGCAGAGCGCTGTAGGACATCTTTTCTCTCTGGGCTCTGAGAGTTGCTAAACTGATGAATAAACACAACAGTCTCAGGCTCTCCCTGTCCAGCCTGGAAGAGAAGAGATTCATGAATAAACTCAGTTTGGACCTGCATGTATTCACAGCCATATAAACCTCACAAGTAATTCCTTGAATTAGTGTTAACTTGTTATACTGTAGGTACAAGATGAGTACATCAAGAACTGATTTGAAATGATTTGATATTCTTGATTTCGACCTACTCCAATGTGTGAGTAGTACTTACCTCTGGCCCAGGACAGTTAGAGTGTCCTTTTCTTGTTGACGAAATGTGTGTAGCTCACACAGGAGCGACACGGCAGACCATGACTGTTCCCTGGACTCAGGGCGGCTTTTCAGGCAGGCCCTGCAGGAGAGTCATTTTTACTCTTGTGTTTATGTTTGATGCTCATTAAGGAAACCTGGAAGGAGATTTCTAAGCTTAACGTTAAGTACAATATCTTTTTTTATAAATAACTAAAGGTGCGTTATTTGTATTGCTCCCTGAATAGTCACTTTATTTGTACTTCTTTTTAGTCAGATTTTGTACAAAGAAATGTTGCTATATTGGTTTGGATGTTTGTTGACATTTTTGATACTTTGTTATTATTTCTTAATTAATAACCTGTGTATTGCATATTGATTATTATGTATGTCATAATGATGTAAATGATCATTATTGTGTTTTACCTGTATATTCTGAAGGCTCCTGGCAGCTCCGACAAACGAAGCATGTCTCCTGACTCCAAAGCCTCATCTGCACGATCTCCTAGCCCCTCCCTTTCCTCATGTTGTTGCCATGGCAGCAGGGTCTCCCAGATACTCAGAGCTGTGGTATCACCAAAAATAAGATGAGGCAAAAGAAAACGAAGGAATGTGAAGCACCTGGAGCAGGATCCATGATAAGAGGAAGTTATACTTAGAATTGAAGAGATTGTCTGTGTTCTACTGCGGCAAAAGTTCAGAGAAACGTTTCCTTACTGTAGTGCTCCTGCAGCATTTCTGTGTAAAGCAGCTGGGTCACCACATCATACTTCACTTCCACCAAGAGAAGGACGTCTGACGTGGAGACGCAGCCCCAGGCCTGATGCCGTACCCCGAGGCTTCTGCCCTGCCGGGGGGGCAATACACTGTGCACACCCTCTGATGTCAATCTAAGAAAAACACAAACACATATCATCAAAAGTTATAGAAATGACAAACTTAAGTGTATAATGGCTAGCTTTTAACATGGAATGAAACTGGTAATTGTTTTAAGTGGTTAAAGGTAAAGGTAAAGTAAAACAGTAAAAGTGTGTGCTTTAGTAAAGATACAACTATATGGCTTTTGACAGAAAAAGAAAAGCAAAAAAAATGAATACACTAAGTATGACTATTGGATGTCAAAGACTTTAGGTGGGTTTAGTTGCATAACGTATTACTTTTTCTACTTGTGCTACTATTTCAATATGTTATAGCATTTGACATTATTCCATATTGTCACTTTGGCCACTACTTCCAATTTCAGCAGAAGTCATATAAGAAGTAAGCTTGTTGAAAATGAAATCATATTTTGTGCCTATCTTACAGTATGTTTAGAAAGTATAGCATACATCTGCACGCTTTCCTGAAACCATCACATAAACATAAAGTAGGCTTCCGAACAATAGTATTTGAGTAACATTTAAAGTTATTTTGGTTAAGATGCTTACCTGGCCCAGCACTGCCTGGCTGCCTTCCTCAGCCTCTGCACACCTCTCACACTCCCATGCAGCTCTTTTTTTAAAGTATTTGGATCTGTGTTTTGGTGGAGGCATTTCTGCACACAAGGATCCATAATAACTGGTTTGTCCAACATATAGAGAGTGTTGAGATGTCCAACATTCACCAGCTGGAGGTCCCAGTAGAGCTACAGATAACAAAGTTGACACTTAGTAGAGATGACAAAATAACATCATAGTTAGTATGACATTTAGTAAAAGGAAAACCAAATTAATGATGACCTTTTCCTTATTTTCTCTGTCCCTTTCCATTTCAAGGAGAACATCCAACACATTTTCACCAACACAAGACCAACTACTGTCACCTCCTGCAATCTGAAACAGACACAGGCACAGAGAGATATCCCATAATGACGAATAACATTTGATGAAACCATAGCCGCTTTGTTGTTTAAAATAGGACTATGTTTCTACCTTCTTCTTGGCCACATGTGCTTCATCAGTGTTGGAGGGAAAATGAAACACTTTGAGGTACAGGAGACTCACATCTTCAGAGGTAAACTCTGCTCCGACAGACATACCCAGGGATCGGTACAGACCGGCGATACAATCCTGAAGAAAAATGCAACAAGGTGAGTTGTAGTTTACACACACACAAAGAAAACAGATGCAGTTCTCACCCAACATCAAAACATCTTACCTGCTCCATGTTTTCACCACTGTGGACTGATAAATTATACAGGCTGTTGCTATAGATACAGTTGTCTTCTGGACAAAAGCTGGATCAGGTTACCAAGCAACAAAAGTGACAGTGTATCTGTCAGAGTGAGTAATATGATACATGAACATGTGACACATTACACCTGACTGAAAAGTGTCCTGTGGCATAGCACCAGTAGTGAAAGTTGTCCGATCCCAGCCTGTAAATTGTATATTATGTTGCCTGAGGCATACATTATATCAATTATCACAGATCCTACTGGTAAATTCATGGTAAAACTGCATTTTATGGGCCTGTCATTTCTTGCAGATTTTTTAATAATGTCTCATTAGAAATGAGAAATGTCATTAGTAAGCGACATGTCATTGGTATTGGTATTATAACAACATAACACAGGAATTACATTAGTTGATCTTATAAGCAGTTGTTCACTGAGAGGAATATAGATTAAAGAAGTGCCACATTAAATCCGAGTCTATAATCATCCCTTATTCATTTATTATTTGAAACATTATTCTCCATATGAGTTGAACTTTGACGTCACATCTTTGCAAATTAAACAAACCTGTTGTGCAGTTGACATTATTTCATTAGAAATGTTACAATTCAACACTTTCACCTCTTTTGTAATTGGAAAAATCACATATTTAATTCGAGGAAACCTCATAGGAAATCAGCTTAAGAAGAAATTCGTTAGCACAAATATTGTGAAGTGTTCGTTTATTCGTACAAAGAAAAGTGACAAAAAGAGTACCTGAGAGTATGAGGATTACTGCATGAACAGTCAGACAACGCACCGTGCTGAAATAAACACGTACAGTAAACAACTTTTGGTAGTAAATAATACTGTTGAAATAATCGAAAGGCTTTGGACAAAATCATGTATAAAACAGAACAGATTAATATTATTAATAATGTGAAATTAAAACGTAAAAACCCTTGTGTAGTATAAATATTCAGTGCTACATGTAACAAGATAACAAAGTGGATTAAAAAACACAAAAATGCAGTGGTTTACCTATTTTAAATCCACAGGTCATGGAGGTTCATCTGTTTTTCCATTTTAAAATTCAGTATACAGTAACAGAGGCTTCTGATGTCCTTTCTTTGGATTGAAGATTGTTAGAGGCGGCAGTGCATGTGTGTGTATGTGTGTCCATTTGATAGTGAGCAGTTCAAAGAATTATAGGGCTTTATCATGAATGATCTTGGGGCACTTTTCTGGCTGTATGCAGTAGTTGTTGTGTAGAACCAGACCAGCAGGACACTGGCAGCCCGGCACACAGGGCTTGAAGCAGTGGCTCTCTATCACCCCGAGAGGCACGTCAGCGTTAAAGCAGGTTACAGGACAGGGGGGTCCGCACTCGTCAAACACAAAGCCCCTCTCCACTGGACAGCCCACAGCTGTGGAAGACAGTGACAGGGAAAAACAATGTGAGACACTGTGAAGGCTTCAAGGGTGATGTGTACAACTGCCAGGTAGTTTTATTAGAGGCTTAATTGATGTGAAGGACTTGTTAATTGCAATGTAAATTGTGATTGAGCATTGTGGACTTGTGAGATTATGAACAAAAGCAGAGCATTAGTCACAGAGTGTGTTTTGAGATTATAAAAAGAAATGATCAGTTATAATGAATATTATTTAACGGCAAGTGCCTCCAGTTATAATTTGTTAATTTTGCATAGTGGTTCAGTAACATTTGTACTTATCACCCCTTATCTTTATTATCGTTTACACGATAAGTGTTTAAAGACCCTGAAACTTGGTTTGAAATATAATGTGTTTCATGATAACATTATTTGTTCAAAAAGTCAATCAGGACAGAATTATCTTCCTACTTGCATAACCCTCTTTCACACATGAAATGATAAAGATATGACTCATATATGAAAACTCCATTAACTGCTCACTGTCACACTAATTGTTACCCACATACAGTTTCTGATTAAGAAATCGTGTCATCAGGATCTTAAGTCTTTCTTTTCCTCACCACACAGAGATGGGCCCCTCCATTGCAGGATGACTCCGGCCTCTCTGCACTGACTGGCGTAGGCCTCCAGTGTGTCACACAGACACTCCTCAGTGTTGGCCCCGCAGGCACAGAGGTCGTACACACAGGCTCCGTACCACGGCTCAGGAGGCACCACACGATGGCACGGCTTAAAGACTGCAGACTTCAGCACCTTGCAGCGAGCGTTAGCCCCCTTCTTGGCCTGGTAGCCTGCTTCTTTACAGGGGTCCACATCCTCACCGGGGCGACAGGAAGAGAGGGAGTGGCTACTATTTTTGACCTAAAAATGACAAACTGTTGTTTCAGTAGCAGATAAAAGGCTTGTTTTTGAATGACAATTTATTTGTATTCCGGGTCTCTCTTTGTTTTTATTTTACCCTCCAGCTGTTGCCAAAGTCGGACTCTGATAGGCTGATTCGTCCACTAGGCATGCGGAGGTCATCCTGGTAGTAGTTGTTGAAGTTTCCACACAGGCCACACGTGTGGCCCTTATAGGATCCAGGCACACTCACTTCCAGATGTGAGCGGCCACTCCACAGAACCTAAAGGAGGACCAGCAGGCGTAACTGTGTGACAAACTTGGGAAACAAACGGTTTCCAATCATGTTATACAAAAGACAAAAGATGAAATAAAAATACTGTACCTTCAGGCCGATGTTAGTGTTGAGTAAGATGATGTTGCTTTGTCGTTCTACATAGATGTATGGTTCTCTAAGGAAGGGCAAAGGCACAACCTCACCATTCACCTGAAGAGTAAAAAATGGCTGAGTGGATGCATAACACCAACATAACTGTTGTTCATTTGCAGTAACTGTACACACAAACCTTCACAACCCAGTCCTGGAGTAGCTGCACTGTGACGTCTCCGATAAACACAGTCACCTCTTTGGTCCAGGACACTCCTTTACGCCCACGATCATCGTTAGTGGCATGAATACTGATCAAACAAGAATCAGATCAAACAGATCATTTCATTAAAATAGTTTTTTAGCGGGCCGACAAATAGAGAAGTATATGGCTGAACCGGTTTACTTCCATAAATAACAACAATGGTGACCCATCACCTGAAGTCTCCTCCTTCACAGTCCTGGGCCAGGATGTATGTGCAAGCTCCCTGGAAGTGCAGCATGCGGCCATCAAAGGTGCGATAATGAGGGTCTCCAAAGGCAATGCAGGTGGCAGGACGAGGAAGACAGTGAGGACAGCACAAACCTGGGACAATGGCTGGCATCTCATCCTGAGGGGCAAACACACACACACAGACTCAGAATAGTGAGGCGTTACGGTAACATTTCAGATTATGAGGACTTGTGTGTTTGTTTGTTGTACTGACTGTTGCACAGGTGAGGGGAGGGCAGCGTTCACTGTGACAGTGTACTTCTCCAGACACACAAGTACAGCCGGTGCACTCATCCACCTCCCACTGTTCGCTAGCCTGATACACTGTTCCCTGGTACAAACACGACGCCCCTGAGTCTACACCACACAAACACAAACAAACACATATATATACGTTAAACTTAACAGAACAGTACAGTTTTTTAGTTCACTGTAATGGCTGGCTGGGATACCTTGGCATTCATAGCAGCATTTCCCGGGAATCTTC